TTTTAAATTTTTTTTTTTTTTTTTTTTTTTTTTTTTTTTGTCGAGTCGTTGTGGACAATGCTGGATGCCCTGATTGACCCTGGATGACGTTGATGGATCAATTTTTTTTTTTTAATAAAGGCCTTTTGTTCGCGATTGTGGCTATGAATCTCTGCCCCATCCACCTTACTCACCTGACCTTTCACCTTCGGACTTCCTATTTCCAAATCTAAAGAAACATTTACGTGGAAGACGTTTCCACAATGATGAGGCAGTCATTACTGAAGTTGATAGCTAGTTTTCCTCCAAATCAGCATACTTCTATGCAGATGGGAATAAAGGTCTGTTCCACAGATGTGAAAAGTGTGTAACCATAGGAGATGGATATGTACAGAAGGAAAAGTCAGTGGGCTACATTTCAGATCCTTAGCACATCTGGATCTTGGTGAGGGCCAACTTATTGGCCACCTCTTGTATGTATGCATGTGAGATAGGGACCTTAGATTGTAAGCTCCTTCAGGGCAGGACTGATGTGGATTACATAGCTGCACAAAGTGCTGTGTAAATTGTCGGAGCTATATAAATACCTGTAAAAAATGAAGCAAACCAGGTAAGTATAACATAGGTGGACCTTTGTGGGATGGACTTCCAGTCAATATTTTTTTTTATGCCTGGGAAACTCCCTATTGTACATTGATTAAGTCCATACTTTGTAACCATCTCTTTGCTAATATAGAATTCTCCAGTAGCTGATAGCTCCATGTGTGGGCTTCAGTTTATGGTGCACACAGCAGAAGACCGGTAAACGTGTCTCAGATTTACCAATAGTGTAACAATATAGAATATTTATATACAGTAAAACACTTGTACAATGCTTTTAAAGATCTGTGTATTTATTATTTCTTCACAGGAATTGCCCTTCTATGCCATGAATGATATCAATAAGACTGTGGTGACAGAATTCATTCTTATAGCTTTTTCCAGCTTGAAGCAGTTCCAGACTTTACTCTTCGTTTTTATCCTATTGACATACATTGGTTGCATACTAGGGAACTGTGCCATACTGATATTAGTAAAAAATGAATGTGCACTTCATACACCTATGTATTTTTTTATTAGTACTTTTGCTTTTTTGGAAATTATATTCGTATCAGTCACCATCCCAAAACTTCTAGCCAATTTGATGGACGCTAGTAGAACTATTTCATTTGGGGGATGTTTTGCACAGTTGTATGCTTTTAATTCTCTTGGAGTAACAGAATGTTATCTTCTTGCAGTAATGGCATTTGATCGGGATCTAGCCATTAATAATCCATTGCACTATACAGTTATTATGAAAAAATCACATTGTGTGAAACTTGCAGTTGCTCCTTGGATTATTGGAATTATCATGGCTTTAATACCTACAATATTCACAGCTCAGTTGAAATTCTGTGGTCTTAATGAGGTTAATCATTTTTTCTGTGATCTGGCTCCAATGCAGAATTTGGCTTGTTCAAACCCATTTATCAGCAATGTAGTTACAAGTACAGCTGCAGTGTTTGCCACAGTGGTCCCATTTGTCCTAATTTTAGGATTTTATGTTCATATAATTCAGACAATCATGAAAATTAAGAGTTCAGAAGGAAAACAAAAAGCATTTTCAACCTGCTCATCCCACCTTATTGTAGCCAGCTTGTTCTATTGTACTGCTATTGTTGTATATATCAGACCCAAAGGTAGTCAGCATGACAAATTCCTTGCTCTTATGTACACTGCCTTCACTCCACTTCTAAATCCATATATATACACATTAAGGAACAATGATGTGAAGACAGCATTAAGGAAATTGAGACTATTTAGAATTCTTAGTGAAATCAGGATTAACCATAAGCATGTAAATTAGAGTCTGAATGAATACAAATATGCAAGTAATTGTGCCTGTCTTTGGGCATTAAGTTCCCCTCTCAAGCCTTGAGTACAGTTTTATATAGTTATGCCCCTTCACCAACATAGACACAAGTCATATCAAGGCACAGTCAAGCAAATGTAAACTGGTTGCTTGTTATGAAGAAGATAAGGCAGCCTGGTGAGTTTGATGACCATCATAGTGCAGTCCCCTGAACATCCCCATAATGTAAAAATTACATATAGTTTTTTGGGATGAACTGCCAACAGATTTGTAAATATCCACTTCTATCTAAATGCCTTGAACCAAGTTAAACCTCAAACCTGGAAAAACTATTTGCTTATTTCTAATGTTAAGTAATTTTGTGTATCCTAACTGTTCCGAACATTATTATCCAATGGAAAAACAGTGATTACAGTTGAAGAAAATGCTGAACATTTTAGGGGCCCATCTGGGCAAAGCTTCAATCCCACTCCCAGATCACCTATCCAGCAGTTTTTGTTTAATTTTAATAAATACCTTTTTTGAAGCTCCTTTCTACTTACCTAAGTCTATTGCCCTTGTCCCTCACCACCACCAGCACTCCCCGGAGTCATGACTGGTCACCTCTTTCAGCCTTTAGCTGCTACAGTCTTTAATGGACCCCCCATTGAACAGTCAATAGAAAGTATCCATGTCACCCAGGCAGTGACATGGACAACTGAAGAAGAAACTTCCACCAAGAAAGAACATAGGAAACTTACGACCCAGCATGTCATGTGACCAAAGGATGAGTACTTTTGGCATTTAGAATATTGTCTCTTAAACTATTCCAGTGATTAGTTATGGGGAGGAGGGGTGAAGTTCAGTTTTAAATAAATAGTGCAAATATGTCCGTCTAAAGAAAAAAAGTTAAACTATGTACACAGTGGATTTTGTTAGTTCTTACCGTCAGTTCTCAAATCTCAGTGGAAGAATAATCCTCATTGTATCATAAACCAAAAATAATTGTGTGCTATATATACCAAGTCCAATGGTTCTTGCTTTCTGGCTTCCATACTTGTTATTCATGCACAGACCATGCTTTAGGTCCAGGCAGTGCTCTTTTTATGGCAAAGTGGAAAACAGCTCTGAAGTAAGTTTTTTAGAAGCTTTGTTTTAAACATAGATAAATCCAAAGAACTTGCGCTAATGGAAATAGTAAATGAAAGGATGTGTAAAAATGAGTAAAAATAAAAAATGTTATTATGACCCAGAAACTGTAGTTATTGCGTAATTCCTATAAGACTGAAAAAATACAAAAAGCTGCTGAACTCAGGCACTAAGCCCCCAGGGTGTAATTGTGATGAATGGTACAGCGCTAAATGCCTTTCAGTGATAGGACGGCCAAGAACAAACTGATACAACCTCAGCGTGAGGCATTCAGCAGGAGATTTTTGTTTTAAACATGTTGCACTTGTTCCATGCACCAGTCATAATTTACAGTATGTAGTCTGAGTGACTGAATGATCTGATTTGCAGCTGTTCTGAAATAAAATGCACATAGAAATTGCAGACGTTCAAAAAACTCCTCTAACTCCAATGAGTTATAAAATAATCCTGATTTCACTTAGTAAATTTACCCCTGTGAAGGAACACAATCACTGGCAGCTGTTGGTAGTAGCGATCCAGATAGCAGATCTTACCGCTACATTGAGAGACCAACTAATTGCAATAGGAGCAAGGTCTTCAGTAGTGTTAGTGGCATTCAAACCTCTTCAATAGTTTGTGAATATTAATTAATAAAAATGCCAGACATATACTCAGTAGCTGACATGTAATAATGCCAAACATATACTCAGGCTGTTTTTCCAAGGAATACAAAGTGTAAGCCTTTAAACACTTTTTCTTTTGATGCCCCAGGAATGTATCTAGCTAATTTAAACAAAGTTTAATATGATAAATTCTTTATTTAAGAGCACAGAATGTAACAAACAAAGGTATTGCAGCGCAAAGGTGAGCTCACAACCAGCTTCATGGCAGTGGACACAGCCACCAAATACTGAGGCACCAGGTAGACATACAGTAAACATTCGGTAATAAAATGGTCAGTAAAAAGAGAACATATGTGTGACCACTGTCAGCAGACATCACTACTGCGGTACGTTACAAACTGTAGACTCAGAAATTTTTAGCATGGGTCAGCAAGCGTTATAACACCTATTGCCATCCAATCGGATATTGAAGGGTAAGAGGAGCGAAGGGAGAAGGGGGGGAAGGAAAGATGGGAGGCAAGAAGTGCCATACATGCGCAGTGGCAGTATCGTAGCCAATGAGGTTTATCCGAGGCGCGATTATTGCTAATTGTAAATATATATATATTTTTTTAAAGAAGAGATGGTAGAAAAGTGGAAGAAAAGGAAAGAGGCAAAAGCCGCTTCAGGTGTCTCACTTAAGAAGATCCAGGTATTCTGGAGTGGAGGCAAACTCATCCCACCAGTACCAAGTAAAGCAGAACTGAGCCACCGTGAGGTCCTCCATATGCCGGATATCCTTAATTTTACTAAACTACAGGTAGATGGTGGGAGGGGAGACCTGTGTCCTGAGAGCGGGAACACAAGCATGCACCACATTAACCAAGTGAACTTTAACGGAGTGTTTATACCCTTGCAGAGAGCCTAAGTTATGGTGGAGAAGAAAATATGAGGGAGACTTGGGAATCTGCGATTGCGAGAACTGCTTAGTAATGGAGTGGAGTGCACCTGGGACCAGAACTTCTGAAGGGATGGGCAGGACCAGAAAACGCGGAGCATACCCACAGAGGATGAGCCGCATCTCCAACAGCGGTCACTAGAGCCAGGGAAAATTGTACTTAACATTGGGTCCGTATCTTATATCCCAATTCCTGATATTTATTGCAGATGGAAGACTTCAGGGAGAGCAACAATATTCTAGATTTTTCCACGGGTGAAAAAGAAGAAATCCCCAGATCCCGTTCCCACCCAGCAAGGAAGGGCAAAGGTAAGTCACAGTCCAGGGCTAGCAGCAGCTGATAACATAATGAAAGGGCTTTCAGAAGTGGTTCTGAAGAGGTACATTCACGTTCAAAGCTCGTCAGGGAGCGGGTCAGCGAAGTTGGTCGAGGCATGGAGGAAAGGAAGTGAGCCATATGGTAGTGGCGCCTGTACCCCAAAGGAGCCAGGCTAGGCTCCATGGCCACTGGAGCCCCCTAAGAAAGTGAGAGGCCCTAAACCTGTTTCTGCTCCCCTACTGCATATACAAAGGGTCCTGCAGTCCAGGAGGGAAGTCAGGAGATCCAATCACAGGGAGCCTGAGGCACCATGGGGCACCAAGGGAGAGTCTTAAGGGGGAGCAGAGAGAAGGACTGTTCAAGGGGTATCCACGGTTTTTGAGTGGCGTGGCGACACCAATCTAGAATGCGTGCAAGGTGGGGGCGTGGCCATCAGCCGTATGTGAGCAGACGTTTGTTGAGGAGCTCTCCCGCATTTTATCCTGAAAGATACCCGTCGGGCTTACCTGTATCCGTCTATCCTGCACTAGCCGCCTGCATAGGTGTTGCTGACACCCACATGCCATTTTCGGGCTACTTGCTTCCATATTGAGGCCGAGGGATGACGAAGAAGAAGGAAGGCAAGGGTCTCCCCACCGTGATCCAAGATGGCGGTGGCAGCACTTTCCACACGCTCCCCACCCCTACTAAGCAGATAGGGGACAGGGGCCGGGATACAGCGGCGAGGCTGGAGTGCTTCACCCGCCACCCTGACACTCCTGCTAAGGGACAGAGGCTCTCTTATTCAGCGGATCGGGCCTCCCGCAGAGAGCTGCTGCCAGGCATCTTGGCCACAGTAAATAAAGCTCCTCAGCCCAGGAGGGGCCCCAAAATGCCTAAAGCCAAGGCCAAGCCAGCTGAACCCACTATTGCTGATGTCCTCTCGGCGGTACAGCTCTGTAACTCTGCATAACCTCTCTCACAGGGGAGGTGCATGGGATGAGAGCTGATATCACCTTTATACGCCATGCTCTACAAAAAGTGAGGGAACGCACCTCAGCCCTGGAAAGTAGAGTTAGTGATCTGGAGTACTCTATATCTCCCCTGATTGCTGATGTTAAAACGGCACTGCATGACATATCTGCGAATACCTTGAAAAATGATGACATTGAAAACCGGCTATGCCGCAATAATATCCGTGCTGTTGGCATACCAGAGCAGGCTGAAGGGGCCAATGTTACTGATTTTATTGAATGCTGGATGTGCAAAGTCTTCGAGAAAGATTACCTGTCCCCGCTATTTGCTGTGGAAAGGGCCCATAGGGTTCCATCTCGTCCGTTGCCACCTGGAAATCCTCCTAGACCCTTATTGATCTGGCTACTCAACTACCGGGATAAGGAGCATATTCTGCGAAAGGCGCGGGATCTTGGAGAAATCTCTCTGGCTGGCTCTAAGGTTATGCTGTTCCCAGATTTCTCACAGGAGGTTCAGCGACACAGAGCAAAATTCCATGAGGTTAAGAAGCGTCTGCAGCACCTACACCTGTCCTACTCCATACTTTACCCTGCGAGGCTCGGTGTGGTCGCTAATGGAGAAACACAGTTTTTTTATATTCCTGCACAAGCTTCGTCATGGCTGGATAAGTATGATCGCCGCCGGGCTTCTTCAAACACCTGACCGCTTAGCTTTGCCTCTTACTTGAGCCCATTGCTTTGGTACGGATGCCTGACTGTACCTACTGTCACGGGGCTTGGAACTCCCCATCTCTCTACTGTTGGTGCCAACGCACTGGAAGGACTCCCTATGGTTTTTTTGTTCGGGAATACCTCCAGTGGTACGGACTGTTGCCACCTTACCCTGAAGGCTTCCCTGCGTGGACGTTGTTTCTACCGTTTTTGGTTTACGGTTTCAATTTTACTATGGCTGCGGAAATTAACGATTAATCCCTCGATTAATCGTTAATTTTTTTGATCTATTAAAATTATTTTGATCGATCAAAGTTCTTTTGATCCGTACTCACCTCTCCGCCGGCTTCCGGGTCTTCCGTTGAAGATCCAGGACGTCACGGACATCGACGTCACCGGACTCCTCCCCCTTCCCCAAGTGGCTGTCGGCTAACGAAGGGAAGGGGGAGAAGTCCGGTGATGTCGATGTCCGTGACGTCACTGGACTCCTCCCCCTTCCCTTCTTTACCCGATGGAGCTGCTTGGGCTGGTGAGTGCACATCCCGGCCGGGAGAGAAACACTTTTTACTGCTAGGATCACACTACTCAAGCACGTTATTATTCTGAGTTGCCCCACTTAAGCGGCGGCCATATTGAGTGGGGCACGTGAGATTAATAACGTGCTGGATTAGTGTGATCCTAGTTCATTTTATTACTTCACCGGATGCGCCGGATGCGCAACTTGCAACACCTCTCAGCAAGCTCTGTGGGGAGCTGGGGCTGGTGGATCTGTGGTGCATTTCCCATCCCACTGATTTACAGTACACCTGCCACTCTAAGTCGCATAACTCCCTTTCGCGGATTGATCTTGCCCTGAGCACCGAGGAAATGTTTTCCTATGTCAAATCGGTTGATATTCACCCGAGGTGCCTTTTAGATCATTCCATGCTCACTGTTAAGATGCGCCTAGGCAGCCGTAGGTCCCTACTCCCTTGGCGCTTACACCCGTTTTGGCTGACGTTAATTACTGATCACACAGCATTGGAGAGTGACGTTGGATTTTTCTTGTCTGTGAATATTACCTCTGCGCCTTTTGGTGTGGTTTGGGATACGCTGAAGGCCTACCTCAGGGGTATTTTCCTTAAGAAGGTTATGGCTATTAAGTCGAAGACTAGGCAGGACCTGACTTTGGCCCGCCAACTGGTTGCGATAGTGAGAGGACCTATGTGGCCAACCCTACGGCATGTAGAGGCAGAGTGGTTGACTGCACAAGGCTCTCTAAATACCCTGTTGGAGGAGCAGTCCCAGAATAAGCTATTTTTCACCAAGCGGGTCTTCTGGGCAGAGGGGGACACGGCAGGTAAACTCCTGGTGCAAGTAGCCAGAGCCCAACAACCCTCTAGCCATATCGGCGCTATTTCTGACACTATGGGGGATACCCATTCGAGCCAGGGTATGGTGTCCGAAATCTTCCGAACGTTTTACGCATGCCTGTATCAAACTAAGGCTAGTTATTCTGACTTTGAGCTTTCGTCCTACCTGCAAACCGTTCCCCTTCCATCCTTGTCACCTGCTGACAGCATGGACCACGAGGCCCCACTTACTCTGGAGGAGCTGGAAGTGGCGCTGGCTAGCTTCCCCAGTGGTAAGGCGCCTGGTCCGGATGGGCTCCTTATTGAGGTATATAAAACTTACACTACTACTCTCCTATCTGCACTCCTGGAGGCGTATAATGATGCCTTTTCCACTGGCTCACTACCAAACACAATGTATGAGGCTACAATAGTGGTGATCCCCAAAAGGAATAAGAACCCGCTGTTGCCGGAATCATATAGACCTATTTCCTTACTGAAAGCCGATATTAAGATCTTGGCCAAAGTGCTTGCAATGCGGCTGTCCCAGAAAATTGCGTCAGTAATACATCCAGACCAATCCGGCTTTTTGCCCAACAAATCCACCGCCATTAACATCCGTAGAGTGTTTCTGAACATGCAAGTTCCTGCCGATAATATGGGCAACAGGGCGCTACTCGCCCTGGACATAGCTAAGGCATTCAACAGTGTGGAGTGACGCTATCTGTGGGCAGTGATGGACGCCTTCGGCTTTGGTCCTAATTATTGCAGATGGGTGAGGTTGCTAAATCACCACCCCTCTGCAAAGATCAAGGTTAATGACTCCCTGTCCTCTGCCTTTACTTTATAGAGGGGCACCAGGCAGGGGTGCCCTCTGTCACCCTTACTATTTGCCCTGGCTATTGAGCCTCTTGCTGCCCTGGTCAGACACTCGGTGGATGTGATAGGCTTCAAACGGGGCGCGCTAGAGGAGAAGATAGTCCTATATGCCGACGACACCTTGTTGTTCCTGGCGGACACGGTGCCCTCCCTGACCAGTGTTATGTCCCTACTGTCGGAATTTGCTACCTACTCAGGCCTGGTTGTTAACTGGGAGAAATCTAATCTCCCGTTAGATCCATTGAGTGCACCACTGGATACCACTATGGCGCACCTACAGGTACAATCTACCATTACATACCTAGGAATACAAATTCCCGAGCGACTATCTTACTCTGAACTTATACCCTCTTTTGGGGAGACTCAGCGTAACTCCTGGGTCAAATTACCACTGTCGGTGGCCGATAGGGCAAATTTGATTAAGATGGTCTGGATGCCTCAATTACTCTATGTGCTTCATAACTCCCCTCTCTTGATCGATAAAAAAACATTCCGGTTAATCGATAGCAGCTTTAGGGAACTGATATGGAAATTGAAACCCTCTAGGCTGCAACTTGATGTACTACAGCGGCCAAAAGCCTCGGTGGGGCTTGCCCTCCCCTGCCCATGGTTTTTTTTCCTAGCTTCACAGCTGCAACATTTTACAGGCTGGGCACCTGTGGGATCATCAACCACAGTCCTTCCGTATCCTTCTCCACCTATTCAGGGGGCTAAGCCCTTTGCAGTATTTGGATAGTGATCCATACGGTAGAACTTACTCTATATACCCTACACTGAAGTTGATGGGGCAGGTCTGGGATGCGGCTAAACTAGCACTGGGCATCGGTGCCCTGACCCGACACACGCCACTGTGGCGGAATGGACGCCTACCGGAGCTCCTTCATCTCCAGGGCACCGTTGACTGGACTAGCAAAGGGGTGTTAACTATTTCCCACTTGTATAGGGAGGGCAGACTGTGGGACTTTAAGGAATTGACTGAAATATATGGAGTTCCCAGTAGGTGCTACTTCCAGTTCCTCCAGATTACTCATGCCTCGAAATCCCAGTTTAGTCAGTGCCCCCCAGTTCTATCTCCCACTCCGATATTTGATACTGTATTATTGGCGACCTCCACTAAGGGGATTAGCTCCTTTCTATATGCTCATCTTCTGGTTAAGTCCAATGTCCTTCTCCCTTTGAAGTGCAGAGGGGGATGTGGGGCCCATAGAGGATGATATCTGGGAGGACGTTCTCCAGGTGGTTACCCAGGTCTCCATATTTCCCACCCAAAGACTGACACAACTGTTCATACTTCACAGAACGTATCGCACTCCTGAGTCATTGTTCCGTATCAGGCTTAGAGCGGACACCAAATGCCCCAAGTGTTGTTTTCATTGTGGTTCCCTGATCCACCTGCTTTGGAGATGCCCTAGGCTGGTTCGGTATTGGGATCAGATTGTGGATACCCTTAACCTTGTATTTACATCCTCAGTGACAAACTCCCCATTATCATGTATCCTGGGCATTGTGGAATCTGACGATCTTACACATCACACTACTTTAGCATTTAAACGGGCCCTATTTACCGCAACCAGGATGGTGGTCCATAAGTGGATCTCCCCCTCCCACCCTACGTTGAACTCATGGATAGTGGAACTTGACAGGATGGTAGCATAC